CATGTTGCCGAGTTAACTTTCACCTAGATACACATGTTTTCTAAAGGTATCACTAGCCAAGTAAGAATTTGGGCTTCAAGATTAATGCGCTCGGGACAACAAATACCCGTGGAGCTCAGTACATTTCGTGATCTGCACACAAAAAGGCGTTCGATTTGCTTTATATTTTTCCTTATGTTGAAAGTAGATGCATCTTCTTAATGTTCATTCCCAACACAACAGAATTGTAAAGTATCAGCATTCGGGAATTTATAATAATTCCACATCAACACGACAAACATGAACAATTTGTAAATAAATCAAATTATACGGAAACACATTTCACACACAAGATATGATGCCATGTTTAAACAAGGGATTGTCTATCGTATTTAATTATGCGTCATTAATTACTTTCACATTCATCTTGGCATAAAATCAAATTTATTTAAGAATGTATAAATAATGTTATGATAAAAATGTCTAAAATTTCGGCTAAAAGAACCCTCTTTCTCTTTTTTTGAAAATCTTTTCTTTTTTATTTATCATTCAAACATATTTGCAGAATTTGTCTTCAACATTTTAGCAGAGGCAGTGATAGATTCAGGAATATAGCTTATGAGAGAACATAACTGTTGATCGTTTAATTTCGCTAAGTCATCAATATTTTACCATTTCTTGGCGACTTCAAGGGGGGGGGGGGCTAAAGGCTTCTTGACCACCTCTGACAAAACAACCTAGACTGTGTTCTGCGTGTGTTCAAGAGACCTCTCTTTGAATGTCACGGCCGGTTAAACTCGTTCATATATTTTTAATCGTAGGGAAGATTTATTCTTCAAAAAAAATCATATACATTGTAGGTAAACAAAAAGCAACCTGTTATTTTCTAACACAATATAAGACTACAAGTAACTAGAATTCATGTTTATTTTTTAAACACATTTTTTTCATTATAGATGAGTATTAGGAAAAGTTATTGCCATGAGTAATACGTATCATAGATAAAATAACTAAAAGAAAATTGTGACATATTGTCTAGAACCAATTAGATAGTGCGGCGTAATAATTATCATATTATAATGAGGTATAAGATAGCGATATAAAAAAAATATAGAAGGTAAAGAGGTAAAATTTACCCTGTCTATCAAATAGTATAATAAAGAAAGGAAGTGGGTACGATTTTTATGAAATTTTAATGTCCGATGAGGAATTATATTCCAAAAAAGTGAGACAAGAGTTTCCAAGGCAATTGAACACTCCATTATTTCAGTTTGTTCATTAATATGTTCATAAACGTAAAAACTATAAGAAATGTGAAAACTTGACTATGTAATTCAATGTATTTTAACTTCATGAAAAGATGTACATATTTGACTTTTATTTATACCCCCCCCCCAAAAAAAAAAAAAAAAAAAAAAAAAAAAAAACAAGAAAATCCTGTTCATATGACTTCTCGCTCTCAATTTTCACACAAATGCATAAAATAAAGGTAAAATAGTATATTTTGTATCGTTTAAAATGCAACCAAAAAATTTACGGTGTCTTTGAATAAAAATTTCATGCTAAATTGACAAAAAAAAGATACTTACCTTCAATTAGCTATTTTCAAACTGTTTTCCCGAGGGTATTTATTTCATCTTATTTAATTTTCTTCTTTATAATAACGTTGGTATTCTACTGTTGCAGAGATATACAATTATGACTCGCTTATACTGTACTCTCTAACTGTTAAGAATAATTTATATTTCACGAGAAAGGGACGCCATACATTTTTCAGTAAAAATACATAACACGGCGTTAGTCGTTTAATTTCTTTAAAATTTCACGTTTTGTGAATCGTGCACAAATTAGAAAATTAAGTATATGGAATACTTTAATGGGAAATAAAGACAAACGAAATGTAGTTGTTTGTTTTTAGAAATTATATTGAAAAATAATAACGCCATTGTGTCCTCTTTGTTACCCCAGCAGTGTTTGTCTAAACTTATTTGAGAACCTTATGAATTAGGTTTAATAAAAATAAAATCACAAGATACTGATGTACAAGTAACAGTTACTGGCATAATGCGCCGTTGCTTTATTCTTTAGCTTTTATAGAAAGTTGCACGGAATAACCGATTTCGCGGATTCAACGATATCCTAAGATCGAGTATTATACGCGATTTCACGGATAATACCCGATTTCGAGTATTCTCTCCGACCTGTTGAAGCCAAACTCGGAAGGAAGCAGACACAGAATTGGATGGGCTGATATAGAATTAGACAGGAAAAACATGTAAATAATAGTAAATAATACATTCAGTAAAAACGTTAACTTTTTAAAATAAAATGATAAACCATTGAGATTTCTTGGAATTTAATTGATTCCAATAAACATGCTTTGCATTCATCATCATTGCTCAAGCTCAACTAGAAATGGTTCCTAGTATATGAAGGCAATGCTGTATAATATTACTACATTTTAATTTTATCACTTTTTCAGATTATGAGAATACATTATCATAGTACAGACCATTGATGCTGGAAGTGTGTGGATAGTGTTATCGGAGACTCGGGGATCCAGAAAATAGATCCATAAATTGTACAGTGTATTCATGAAAATGGATCAAATAAAAATGTTCAATCCAAAAGAAACATTCTTTATTTGTCTGTTAGCATTTTTTTATTGATGTAAATATTATAACTATCAATGTTTAGCATGCAGATTCATAATTAGATTGTAGAAGAATCTGAAACATATATTTATATTCTGCATTTTGAAGTATCATAATTAAAACAAGGTCAGTATTAAATGATCAATCAATTAACTTCAAAATTGACAAAATTGTTTTTGTGAGAAAAAAGAAAGAGGGCTAGTTTAAAGTCAGACAAATTTATGTTTTGTATCTCTAGGTATTATATATAAAAATATTCATATTTGTATTCTCTTCTGATTTCCACATTGTTTTCAAAATGTTTTTAAATATAAGTACAACAAAAATTTCGATATATGCTATTCAAAAGATTGCCCATTAGGGTTATTATGAAATATCTTTTAGGGTCAGTTCAAGTTTAGACATTCATATGAAACCCTTCCAGATTTTTATTTTAGGCACCAGTAGCTACTGAGGTCTTAGCTCTCTTGCAATATTGTTTCTTAATTAGGACAGCAGGAGAATATATCATCGGTTCAATACCAAAGGTTGCAGTCATTCGTTCTTGACAGACATGGTATCATTTTTTGAAAGTGCATGGTGTGGGGTAGGCAAAAAAAAAAAAAACTGCAAGAAAAAAATGGGGAAATTGACAAAACTTTGGGGGGGCGGGGGTGGTAAACATCAGATTATGTTGAGGAAAAAGTTGGGTGGGGGATGTCACCCCCCCCACCACCTACCCAACCCAAACCTGATGCTACATGCCTGATTGATATGGTTTTACCTTAAAATTATGTGACTTGTCTTAGTGACTCTCTTTCATAAACTAGAATTATCGTGAGCAAGCTCATAAAATGATACCCATCCTCCTGCTATTGCATTAAATGTTTTTTATTACAAAAAAGGTCAAAATATTAATTTAAAACCTTTTTAAAATTTTGCAGATATACATACCAAAATGACTTTGACATATACTCAAGTCATAGGTAGTAAAACCGTTGTGTTGAGCACAAACTTTCCAATTTCTCTTCATTCGAAGTTAGATATGTAAATGTGCCAAACTCATATAGTACACTATTACTGCAGTGACCTTGAAAAAGCTATGTCTTTGAGTCAAGGTCAAACATGTCCAAATGAACTTTGGTCGAGGTCATGACAAACGTACAGCTCAAAAATAATCCCCGAGATGAAACTTTTCATTAGAATGTTACAGAATAGGCAAAGATTGCACTATTCTTCTACCAATGACCTTGAACGTGTTCAAATGACCTTGGGTCAAGTTTTTGACACATCTCTAGATCATAAGCAATCTTAATATCAAGTGTGAACTTTCAGTGGCACTTCATTGAAACGTTATGAACAAGTCAAAATTTTACATACATATGGTTGGGTGAACAAGGTGTTTCCTACCCCCCCCCCCCCCCCCCTTTTCCAAGTTTCGTTTGTGAGGAAAAATAAATTTCTTTTGAAATTGAATGTGCATTTATTTATCAACAATAGTAAAATTATGATTATGCTTTGATCAGAACCAATATGACTAATACAGGCCTAATGGATGCTGTACGTGTATTCCATATATGCTGAGAGAACTGTGGCCAAATGTTGGTATGGACAAATAGACAGCTAGACACAATGGTTAAACATGATATTCCTCATTCCTTTGGAGCTGGGGTATAAAAATGAAGTTTTATGTTCTCTATATTACATATAAAAACCTTTTGCGTTTTGTAATTCACTTATACAAGTTAATGACATATATATTTTATTCATCATATTCCTCAAATGAGATTCAATGTCAAGAACAATTGGTGCTGATGACACAATAAATGTCAAATTACAATGAAGCGCATTGAAGTGGTAAAATTTTCCGTTCGAATGGAACGTTTTGAGCTATCTTTAGAACGTTTATGGAACGCCCATTTCTTTAGAAATAGATAAAACGGTCAATTTGTTTATTCGAATACCTGTAGAACAGGTTTTCCATAAATATAGTAGCCAATGAATTTGACGGTCTAAATAAATACCGAGTAAACATGTGTTCGACCGAACCATGTGTTGTGGTAACTTCAACAGACATGATAAGTTCAAAAATATGAACATATTTGTTGCAATTTGTGTTTTACAGAAGCGGGGAGTCTCTAACTCTCTCTTCTTCTTTTTTTAAAGCTCCATTTCAGTGTAACTCATATTGCTTGTCGCGAAGATTGGGGTGTCCTAAAACATTACGACGAATATTTCATTCTCGTTTCTAAAAATATGGGCGTGTCATCATGTTGTAATTGACGCTCAAAACATGACTCAGAACGTTTCGTCCAAACGGAAAATTTTACCACTTCAATGCGCTTCATTGTAAATACTTTCCAATTGGTGAAAGCAAAATAAATTGGTAGAGTTCACTTTTCCACAAGTCCGGCATCCCTCATTTTACCCATGACAAACTTCTCTAGTGTATTAGCACACTTGTAATACTCTGTGTCAGGTTTGTTATAAGATCTACAGTTTGTAAAGATCCGGGTCATGTCCGCTATAAACAGTCTCTTGTGGCAATAGTAACGGTTCTTTAAACGCTCAGCCATTGTCTTCAGATCTAAAAAAGAATTAAAATCAATTAATCAGCTAGATAATTTGTGACTGTTCAAGTCAAAGACTAAATTAAAATATGAATAAACGAAAAAAAAAACCACTTAAAAGATTAATTTTGAAAGAATTATGAGAATATTCTTTCATTATCTTTATAATTAAAATTCAGATTGCCTGCATTCTGCATTCTTTGTTTTTTTTCATCTTTGAACATATTTTTGTTTGTTCTTTGAACATGTTTTTCTTTGGCACACCAAAATAAAAGAGAAATCAATTTTCTAGAAATGTCTATAAGTACAAACCCATGGGAAATTTAATATGGTCATAATAATCAGGAGCCTCAGATTTCTCTACTGGCTTTAGGAATGGCCAGGCACTAGCATGGCTCTGTAATTTACATAGAGAGGAATTTATTAACAACTTGTGCAATGTAAATACACTATATCAAAATATGCTGATGAAACAATAATATAAAGATTAATTTACCCTGGCTTGTTGGATGATAGTCTTCAGAATATTGTGTAGCTGATCTGGGTCCAGTGGGGGGTCTTTGCTATAAAAAAGTGTTTCAATAACAATTCTAAATTTTACAAGTGCATTTTGACACACGTATGGGATCCTTTGTTGTATCCAAACTTGAATTTGTATTTTGATTTAACTTTAAAATAATTTTTCAAGCGAAAAAAAAATGCTGCTCACACATACCCAGGCCTGTTGACTTATGTATAATTGCTCATATCTAAAGGCTTCATTATGTCTTATAAATACTATTTGCCCAAAAACAAATGTCCCTTTGTTCTTCTACTTGTTTATCAGTCTTTTCCATATTTTGTGTGTCTCAAACTTATACTTTTTGCATTTCATTTAATTATAAATTTCATTCTGGCCTTTTTCTTTCCTATCTTTTAATCTGTCCATGCTTATTATTGGGAGCCAGGTTTCACAAACACTTCCCTCTGACAGCTGATGTTTACAATATGGTCAGGTATACCAGGTATATTCTCTTTAGGTCCCCCCTCTTACCTTTATCTGGGTCAGGTTTCCACCCCCTGTCCAGCACACCAGGTATATTCTCTATAGCTAACCCCCCCTTACCTTTTATCTAAGGTCGGTCAAGTTTCCAGCCTCTGTCCAGAATACCAGGGTCCGCCGTTATAAAACTTCTCAGCTCAAGTCTTGAGAATTACTCACCTGAGAATTTTACAATAAAACAGAGTTTAAGGAATTTTATTTTTCTCAACTTTTTTATGACGGCCGCCGAATCTGAGAATTTTGGATTTGAGAAAAGTCTCAGACTTGAGAGCATTCTCAGACTTAAGTATGTTTTATAAAGGTGAACCCTGGTATATTCTCTTTAGGTACCCCCCCCCCCCCCCTTACCTTTTATCTGGGTCAGGTTTCCACCCCCTGTCAAGAACACCAGGTATATTCTCTATAGGTATCTGTCTCACTCCCTCCTTGAAACATTTCAGTCCAGGGTACACCTTCTGCATCTCCTGCTGTTTTCTTTCTATTATCTTCTTTACAATCTGAAAAATCAGATAATAAATTCAAGATACAGTTATTTTTTCTAAATTACAAAACACACAATGAAATAAGAATCAAATAAGTCATCAAAAGAGATCAACAAACTTCTTTCTATAATTTTTTTACCTAAACATACATACATAGACTGTGTTCAAATACATTCTTTTTACAGTACGAGGGTTGTCCAAAAAATTTGTGGACAATGACGTTTTTGTAAAAAGAAATGGTTCTATATAAATCTTTTGTATATCAAAATATTTCTTATGAAAAAACAATTCAGAATGATTTAATATTTTATTGATGGTACGTAAATTTTTTGTAAAAATCAGGGTCTTTAAAGGTCGCGGATAGTGTGCACGGACCAAGGTTAAGATGACATAAACTCTGATATAAAGTGTTCGGATTAAAATGATTATTTTCTGTATAAGATAAGTCAAATTTTAATAAAAATTTTATGCAACACAAATAAAGAGGCTATAACCATTTTATTATATCTTAAGTATCGCTTATGTAGACAGTATACAAATACTAAACAAAAACCCTAACAAATATGTGTCAAAACTCCTTCACACGGGGAAGCATCCGATCAACAAATTAGTTTTTATACGGTTGAAACAATGTAAGAGACAAAATATTTGTTAAAACAACTCAAAATTATTGAAATATATTTAGTGTATCGATTTAAGATTGGTATATCCGATTTTTCAACGGTGTGTACAAATTCGAAGACACTACAAGAATTTTAAACACGTGTAATTTACTGAAAATAAAGATTTCTATTCATGACGTTGTTATAAATCTAGCGCAGCGTAGGACTGGGTTGTGCGGTTTGTGTATACAAACTGTTTATATAGATGACGCTCGTAAATTTTTGTGCATTGTTTTGAATTTTAAAAATTAAATAAATTATAATATATACTTAAGGATTATTGCTAGCACTTGGAAGTGCATTGCGCCTTAAAAAAGAAATGTAGTGTGTGTCCATGAACATGTGTTAAGTGAAAATCCAGGTGTTTGATGTTACAATTAAATTAGCTTAACGTCAGACTGGTCCGTGCGCAAAATCTGCGATCTTTAAAGACCCCGATTTTTACAAAAATATTAAGTTTTCTAAATTAAAATTAAATCATTCTAACTTGGATTTCATAAGAAATATTTTGATATACAATAGATGCACATAGAACCATTTATTTTGACAAAAACGTCGTTGTCCACGAACTTTTTGGATAGCCCTAAATTAGGCTAGTAAAAAATGTAGTTGTAAGCAAAGTCTTCCATGCAAATGCAATTTTCTTTTCATTACTGAGAAATAATGTCACTACCTCTTTTTGTTTGCATATGATACTGGAGAAGTCTGAATAGGATTCAGTACTCTTAATTACTGAGAATTACTAAAACTACTTCTCTCTGATTGGGTATAATACTGGAGAAGTTTGTATATGAGATCTTAGGGTTCAGTACTTTTAATTACTGAGAATTACTTAACTACCTCTCTCTGTTTGCGTATAATACTGGAGAAGTTAGTATATGAGATCTTTGGGTTCAGTTCACAACCCATGAGTGTGGCCCCTTCATAGTCTTTAATGTACCCCAGGTAGGCAGACTTTGCTAATTTTATCTCCTTTGAAAAACCCTTCAATGAAAACAAAGCAGATACTCGGTAAGGTTCTGTATATCACCAACATATACATATCCACTTTACTTATACATACTACTTTATGGATGCATGAATTTGTAAATGGATAGAAATGTTCATTTAATAATTCATTTACATGACAATTACAATTTTCTGTCAAGAAATACACATTTGATCCTTTCAAATCATATAAACTTATAACAGCATTCACTGACAAGGATGAATTTCACAACACAAGTCTCCTTGTCTGGAAAGTTACAGACCCTGAGACGTGCTTCTACCCCAAAAAAGCATGTGAATTTCGTGCGCTTTCCGTGTCGTGCAAACCCTGTAGCGTTTCGTGTAAACCGTGCAGCGTTTCGTGCAAACTGTGTAGCGTTTCGTGTAAACCGTGCAGCGTTTCGTGTAAGCTCCAAAGCGTTTCGTGCAAACTGTGTACCAAGCGTGCGAAAAGTGTGTGAGAAACGTGCGACTTTCGTGTAAGAACCGTGTGAGAAACGTGTGACTTTCGTGCAAGAATCGTGTAAGATTCATTTGGAAGTCATTTCATTTTAAATATGGCTATCGATAGGTCAGGATGTTAAATTGTAATAGTATTTTGTTATTGAATTAATTATGCTTGTGATATTTTAGGAGTAAAAACAAAAAAAATGGAACAACAAAATGAAATTACACGGTAATGTATAATTCATATTTGTTTGTTTTCTTTTCCTTCTATAGAAAATGTGTTCAAATTAATCAACTATGTACAAAAATTTTAAGGGCATTGAATTCAATATACTTTCAACGTGATCATGGCTTCTGAAATATTTTTTTTCTCAAATAAAGATATTGGTATAATTTTTTTGTTAATTCAAATCAAAAATATATCAGGACTCCGCTCTTGTCTTTACATTTAAAGTACGTGAAAGAAAGTTTTGAAACGATGTGTCATTTTAAGACATAAAACCTGTTGCTCATTATTGTAAAATAAATGGATTTTGTAACATGCACTGACGACCAAATGTTTAGAAACGGGGGGAGGGGGGGGGGGTAAATTAAATTACTAGTACTTTCAATCTAATGTTAGTTTAAGTAAATGCTTAATTTTCTATTCTTTTTAGTTCAAGTGAGCTTTTCTGATCACATTTTGTCTGGCGTCCGTCTGTCTGTAAACTTTTCACATTTTCGACTTCTTCTCAAGAACCGCTGGGCCAATTTCAACCAAACTTGCCACAAAGTATTCTTGGGTAAAGGGGATTCAAGTTTGTTCAAATGAAGGGCCACGCCCTCATTCAAGGGGAGATAATTGGGAATTAATGAAAATTTGGTGGCATATTTTAAAAATCTTCTTTTCAAGAACCACTATGCCAGGAAAGATGAAACTTATAGGGAAACATCCTCAGGTAGTGTAGATTCAAGTTTGTTCAAATCATGACCCTCGGGGGTAGGGCAGGGCCAAAATGGCCGACCAAAGTTTTACATAGAAATATATAGGAAAATTCTTTAAAAATCTTCTTCTCAAGAATGACAAAGCCATAATTCATCATATTTATATGGAAGCATCCTCAGGTAGTGTAGATTCAAGTTTGTTCAAATCATGACCCCCGGGGGTAGGGCGGGACCAAAATGGCCGACCAAAGTTTTACATAGAAATATATAGGAAAATTCTTTAAAAATCTTCTTCTCAAGAATGACAAAGCCATAATTGATCATATTTATATGGGAGCATGCTCAGGTAGTGTAGATTCAAGTTTGTTCAAATCATGACCCCCGGGGGTAGGGCGGGCCAAAATGGCAGGCCAAAGTTTTACATATAAATATATGGGAAAATTCTTGAAAAATCTCTTCCAAGAATGACAAAGCCATAATTGATCATATTTATATGGAAGCATGCTCAGGTAGTGTAAATTCAAGTTTTTCAAATCATAACCCCCGGGGGTAGGGCGGGGCCAAAATGGCCGACCAAAGTGAGCCAAAATGGCTGTCCAAAGTTTTACATAGAAATATATAGGAAAATTCTAATTAAACATCTCAATAATGACAAAGCCATAATTCATCATATATATATGGAAGCATGCTTAGGTAGTGTAGTTTCAAGTTTGTTCAAATCATGACCCCCGGGGGTAGGGCGGAACCAAAATGGCCGACCAAAGTTTTACATAGAATTATATATTTAAACATCTTCTTCTCAAGAATGACAAAGCCATAATTCATCATATTTATATGGGAGCATGCTCAAGTAGTGTAGATTCAAATTTGTTCAAATCATGACCCCCAGGGGTAGGGCAGGGCCAAAATGGCCGCCAAAGTTTTTAAAGATATATATAGGAAAATTTTTTAAAAAATCATTTTCTAAAAAATAGCAAATCCATGATTGGTAATGAGACTACTTTTGGATTTAAACTTTACAATTAAAAGCCATTTTCTACTTTTTCTTACCCTTAGTGCTCAGGTGAGCGATGTGGCCCATGGGCCTCTTGTTTAAATCCTTTGTTAAATATGTGCACAGATACATCCCTTAAAAATGTATTGGAATTTCTTCTCCCGCCTTTCAACTGTGATCAAGGTCATTTACAACAGCGATCACGGCTCCGAGTGCATGGCAACTGAAAACCTGTTTTGCTATACTAGTTCACGGCTTAAGATAGACACCTGAAAATTACGACTGGATTTTATTGTTTTTGAAATAAAATGGTTCTATAAATATTTAATGGGTACAACTTATAAATCAGCGGATTTCATCTTTTATTTGTAAATCCAAATTTCTAGCCGTAAACGGTAAAATAAACAGAACTGATTTGGTAGTCTTTTCATGAATATCATGTAAGAAAAGCTTAGGAGTAAATCATGAATAATTGTAAATTATTTGTTTTATAAATCACGTACTTTTTATTTCATCTAAGATATTTAAGTTTTCTTGTAATATACCTGAATGCCGGTGTAAAGATCGATCTACATTGTATGTACAATGTATAGTCAAATGCCGCGACTATTAATTAATGTACACATATATACATACGTTTAGTTGGGTTTTGGAATGAAAGATTTTACAGTATGATGGGTATTCTGATGCTATTTGATAAGCTTCATGTAAAAAGAGAAAGAGAATAAAAATAGATTAGGACATCCCCCCTTTACCGGTTTCCCTCCTATAGATAATGCTTACGTAAGATAAAAAAAAATTCTTTAAAAATGTATCAATATTAAATTGTCAGAAGAGTATATAGGCAAATTTTATTACTAAATCAAAATCTAGAAAAAATAATCTGCGTACGGAAATCAAACACAATATAATCAATATTATTTAAATTCAATGAGTTCATATTCCTGCAGTAAGAAATCAAATTTGTGTTTAATTTATTAAATTATACTTGTAAAAATATTACATTGAAATGAATGACTAATATTTAATATAAAAAATGTATTTTATCAAACAGTCATTCATGATATCGGCATTTCGTTTTTAAACAGTTTAATAAATAATTGAATAAATACCAAATGACAATTATTTATTTATTAATTACCACTGTTAGAGTATTAAATATTTCTATCGGTTTATGTAATACTGTACTGATATTTAATTTAAACAGGTGCTAAATGTGGCTTTATGAAAGATTTCCATTAAATTAGTGATAAAACCGTAATATTGCCCGAGATATTCCGAGTAGAAAATCCAAACCGAGGCCAAAACGTGCGAGAATCATGTACAAAGCGTGTGGGAAACGTGTACAAAGCGTTTCGTGCAGCCTTTCGTGTAAACCGTGCAGCCTTTCGTGCAAAGCGTTTCGTGTAAACCGTGTAGCGTTTGGTGCAAACCGTGTAGTGTTTCGTGTAAACTGTGCAGCGTTTTGTGTAAACTGTGCAGCGTTTCGTGCAAAACCTGTAGCGAGCGTGTGGGGTAGTAGCACGTCTCAGGGACTATACAATGACAATCATTGAAAAGTACATATGTACCTGTTTTTTGAAGTAGCCTATAGCATACTCATCAGCAAACGTGAGGAAGTGTAGAATACTGTGGCTGATGTGGTAGTCCTTTAGGTGGTTCATCATGTGGGTACCATAACCCTGGAGGAATTAAAATTACATGTAAATTCACCTTATATTCTTGTGCAAATATCATCAGGGTCATGAACCTGACAAATTTATAGGAACTCATAGTCCTGTGTAAATATCTTGAACCTAAAACTTTAATAAATTTTATAAAATTTATAGGAATTTCAATGTTTGTGTACCAGAACCCCATTATGTTAATGTCCATGTACTTGACCAACAATATAGTATGTGTACATTTAATAAATCATATGTGGATAACAGGGGCGGCAAGTATTTGACATTGGGGAGGGCGAAGTAGATTGAAAAAGGGGGGGGGGGAGGGGTTAGCTGACGTGTGTTTACTTAAATTCAAATTTCTACCAGTATATTGATATATTTTCCCATTCTGTCAATGTTTCAAAGACTCCACCTGATTAAAAAAATCAAAATCGTTTTATATGATTTTATTTACGTCATGTCATAAGCACATATGAGAAGCACGTAGTTGAATAAATATTATTTTGAGATGCATATATACTTATCTTTAAAATAATCAATTAATAAGCACTAATAAACACTACATAAATGAAATCTGTTCATTAGATAATACACAATGTCACTGCACTTTAAAAGCGTCCAAAAATGGGAGCTCCGTCCATCCCGTCTGACACAAAGTCGTTAGCAACTGCCAAAATGTTCAACGCATCTGTAGCCTCCCTGTGCGTGTGCAGGATCATCAAATGATTCAGCCTTTCCTGGGACATAGTGGCACGAAGATAAGTCTTTACTCGACGCAAAGCAGAAAACGTTCGCTCACTTGTAGCGTTAGTCACTGGCATCACTAAAATAAGTCTCAGTAGAGTCACAATCTCGGAGAATAGACATCTGGAAGCTGGAGACATCTGAGACACTAAGGTCACCAAAAAGGAAACGGACACAGTTGAGGAATCATTTAAGTTGTTGTGCGAGCGTTGTAAATGTATCCAGCTGTGAAGAAAGAGAGGTCTTGTCCAGATCATCTCCATAGAACTTTGAGACAAAGTCCAAATCTTCTTTGTATGTCTTGTCGCCACGCACAGAGCTTCACAGAATGTCCTCTAGATGGCGATACACTTGATAGCCTGGCTGATCAAAACGGTCTTTGACACAGTTCACTAGGGCTGCCACGGTTCAGACATTTTTCGGTTCGGTTCGGTTCAGAAAATAAATTCTCGGTTTTCGGTTTTTTAGGTTCGGTTTTCATTTTGAGAATTTAAATAAAACATCTTTATAATTATCAATGGATAATAAGATTAAGGACATTGTAGAAAGTACTATTTTGCTGACACAAATTTCTATCCATTTTATTCAACAGAACAAGTTGTTAAATGTAACAAAAAATAACAAAGTAATAAACTTCTTGTTTAAAATAAAATAAAATAAATATAGTTATTGACTAGAGTTATCTTGTTTCAAACAATTGAAACATTCAAAACGTGAAGCATTCCCACACTTGTGATTTGGTTTTCTTTCCACATGTGTATGCCATGTTTAAATGTCTTCGATGTTACCTGTATTTTCATTGGTTAAAGAACCCTTCATTGAAATAAACAACCAATCACAACGCGTGTTGCAAGCAAATTAGTATTATATAAAAGATAAAAAAAAAACGAACCGAATTCCGGAAAACCTGACTCGAACCGAACCGAACGTCATTTCGGAGCGGTTAACCGAGTTTTCGGTTAACCGTGACAGCCCTACAGTCCACCACAAGATCCAGAGCTTCGAAGTACTGTTGTCTGTAGAGGTCTTTCTCTGATGTGGCGAATTCTGAGGGGCATTTGATTTCAAATCGCTTGGGCATTTTTCTTCGCCGTGGCAATGTGGGCTCAATGACGTCCACTTCATGCAAGATTTTCCGTTAAGTGATTCCCAGGAATAGATCAAAGGACTCTCCTTCGCATTGCACTGCAGTGATGTCAGGAAAAGTACTGTGGAGTGTTAGGCCCTCGGCAGCTGACAGGTCTTTCTTCTGAAGTGTTCGGTAAGATTTTCTGTGTGACGAGAAACTCTATTAAGGGACACTCCAAAAAGAAAGTCAAAACTTTGCATCAGAGTTTTACGTATATCCTGGAATGGGCTTCTGGATCCTTTGTGCACTCATAGCAGGTCTCCCATAAGGACTGAAGGACAGATAGTTTTCCAGAATGCTGTTCAAACTGGCAGCTCTAACAGTCCATCGAGTAGGGCATAGCACACGGAATCCCGGCATATCAGGTGCCATCTCACGCTTTAGCTGTTCCAAATGGATCCCTCCTGGGCGAAAACTTTACAAGTTTGGACATTTCAAACACAGTATCCAAGGAATCACGCATCACCTTTGATTTTTTCAATGTTCACCAACTGCCCAAATTAACGCATGTCCAAACAGTGCGGTAGATAGCCCTAGTCTCTTTGCTGGTGATGTTAGCAGCCACACCCTTTTTGGCTCCGGACATATTGCTGGCTCCATCGTAGCACTGTCCACGGCACTTTCTCAAGGAAAAGTTATCCTCACCAATGCATCCAGAATCACATTAGTTAGTGTTCAGCGTCGATAATGGCACCATACACAGTCCAATAAACTCTTTGTGCACATCCAGGTTACTGTAAAATGACGAATCACAATCACAACTTGTTCACAATTTGACTGGTCTGTTGTCTCATCTACCATGATGGAGAAATAGCCGTTTCCCCGATGTTAGAAGCGACGTCACGATATCTTTAAGGCCATCACTTGTAGCATCTCGTTCTGGATATCTGCTGATGTAAATTTGTCTTGTTTCCTTTCCAGCCACTTGAGGATTGATGGATCCCATTCACCATGGAGCTTCAGAAGCTGTAAAAATTGCTTTGATCATTGTCTTGGCCACGGAGTGGTAATCCCTGTCTAGCAAGAAACCATGTTGCGAAGAATGGTAAGCAGCTGCTGTTGTTTTTGTGTTTTCTCCTCTGAGTGGGCGGCTAGAGAACTTCACCAATGTCTTTTGTTTCTCATGGTAGTTTCACTTTTCTCTCCACGGCTTCTTTATGGCAGTCGGAATCTTGAGTTTCCGGGAATTTGAAGTGGCATCCTTCCAATTACAGAATCCCGTGGAAATAAAACTGCTGTCGGCCTTGGAGTTGGAAATCTTGCCCTCTTTTGCAGCAACCATGCAGGTAAAACAGAAAGCCAGATCTTTTGCCTGAAAATAAGAACAAATTTAATTTCAATATATATATATTTTTTTTTTAAATCGTTTTTTCTCTTTTAAAGTGTAATCATTGTACATTATCCAATGATTTCAACACAATCAATATATTAAAATTTGTATCCTTTCAAAATATCATTGAAAAGATAAAAAATATATATCTTTTAATGCTTATTCGTCATAATGTAACCATGCGTATTTTTAAACCAAGTGGGGTTGAAAAACCCGTTCTGGGTTCTTCTTGCCGAAAGAACGCTTAGGAAATTTAAAATTAAAAGGTTGATTAATACTTTTTAATCCGGCCATTTTTGAAATTGAAATTAGAATAAGTGTAATAATATTAAAAAAAAAAAACATCTTTTTTTTTTTTTTCAAAATTATTGGGGCGACGCCCGCCGCCCCCGCCGCCCCTTTGCCGACACCCCTGGACAAATCAGTGACAAATATCACTGACCTATCTAATCACTTCTTGTATTATTGTGTTTATACTTGTTTTACTCTTTAAATTCAAAAATGAAATGTTCTGACATCTTTTCAGAATATTTAATTAATAACAATAGTTCTTTTTTCTCAACTAATGCGATTGTCACAGAGGACTTGAGAGGAGCATCTAATATCCTTTAATTTTTTAGCACCTTTAACATCAACATTTACCACATGTACATAGAACTCTTTCTTACATCTCCTTACCTTGACTTGTTCATTAGAGGATACAGCACAGAAGACAATCTCCGTGAACCCCTGGGGGGGGAACATTCGGAAGCAGATTCCTCCTATCACTTTATTATCCTTTAGAAGGGCCAGGCATTTGTGTTTCCTGTTAAATACATCATACTCAGTAAATAACAATTATTTCAATAATTTTTCACCAAAATCTTTTACTTCTTGATACATGTATACTGGGAGACAAGCCAGTACATGTAAAATAAGGAAAAATAAATTTTGAGACAAAGCTAACATAATCAATCAATTGCAGGTTAAGGACTTACGGATCAAACACGAGCCTGGTGATGTACTCTTTGGGCATTCTGGGTAGCTGGTGAGAGAAGACGTTCTGTAGGCCGATTAGCCACACCAGTGTCTGTTTGGAGGGCTTCTTACTGAGACTGTTCCCCACCACGTGGAACTCTATCACCCCCTTGTTCTCCTCTCTCCTAGCTGCCTCATCACGAGCCACATGGGCGGGGAACAAAGTGGGCTACAGGGAAGAAGGAAAATTAAAATTTTAAAGACAGTAATCTTATAGTCCAATCAAACTGTCAAAAACCTCAAACAAATTGCAACAGAATTTTTTTCTTTATTAATTTATAACTAGTAAATTGTATTCTAATTAACACATAAAAACTCTAGAAAAATATACTGAAAGGAAAAAGAAACGCAGGGTAAACTTTTAAGGTGAATTAAATTTGTTTTTTTTAAAATACTTTTTAGTTTTCCTATCTACCTTTTAAAATCATCTTTCAAAAAGACATAACCAAATTCTCATATGATTTTGTCTAATTATTCATAAGTTATTGAAGCTCATATGACGATACCCCCCAAAAGTGAAAATCAAAAACTCTCATTATCTTCAATGTCTATCTCGTGCATTTTTCAGAGTATTATTTCTCCTTTGCATGGAATTTCATCAGAGTGTTTATCTTTCGAACCCTGGCTATATTTAGCATGGGTAACGCATAAAAATTAGTCAAACGGCGCGCGCATGCGCCAGTGAGAGGAATACAACCGTAAGTTGACTGGCTCAAAAAACCAAATAGCAGAATTGTTTACTTTCAAATTTCGTATGAATGTAATGATTATAATCATCTACTCTATAAATGGCTGTTTTTGTGGTAGTAAGGTGGCGATTTAAGAGATGGCAGGACGAATAACCCGCTCGTAACATGACTCTGTTTCGCGTTGCCGTCATCGTCACGGTTGATTGAAAACCACTCCAGACTCTCTCTGACAACGGCTAAAACGTTTTATGGGAGAAAATTTACAAGAGACTGCTAAGTAAACCGTTGTTGCCTTTTTCATTAATCAGGCAATTCGAAAACAAGACCCCATTGAACTTCCGTAAACTGTGCCAAGATTGCAATAAATTCATAAAGTCTCTTAATATTGAAAAACGATGTGCATACCTCACATGCATCAAATAATGCAACAAGATTTGTTGACAAACTCGTCGTTATCAAATTGCACGTCTTTTGGGCTTTTTAGCGTTTTCCCTACGTGACGTCATAAATTTTAAGGTTGAGTAATTCTGAATACTAATTTGGATGCACAGTAACTAAATTTCCCTTCTGACCAATTTTCGAATTTTCGGTATGTGGTCAAATTCTTATCGAAAATTATGCTACCCTGCGTTTCTTTTTCCTTTCAGTATATATAAAGGTGAAAGATGTCTTTTTTTTAAATAAATATTTACTAGTTTGAATAAATATGCATTTCAGAAATGTGCTACCATATGCAACAAGGGGACAATTTTAACCACTTTAAACAAACCTCATTTTATTTTAAACAAGCATAATAAAATTAATAATTCATTTTATAAACATTCCAGGATTTATATTTCACCTACTTATTAAAGATATAAGATTTGAGAATTTTATATAATTATGTATCCTTTACTAGATGTTTAATACATTAGGGGAAATAATCTATGGTGAGTCTTTAGTGGTTTTATTGCAACATAAAAATCTTTCATTATCTAAAAGTTAAACTTTTGTTGTATGACTTTGTTTAAAGATTTTTTTCTTCTTTAGAATATTGATTCTATTAGTGAGAGCTACTTTACTGGTAAAAATACATGTAATATAGATTAGAAAATCTTTATAAATGTTTGGTTGCCCTCTCCCCGACCGACTGACTAAAATGACCCGTCTCAAATTTTTTTTTTTTTACATTTCAGGACATGAAACTTTTTTTCATCAACAACAAATTCTCATCAACAAATATGTTGAAATTTTCTGGAAAAGGATTTTACAAATAATTTTGCCCTGAGTCTGGAGAAGCATTATGTTTATAGCCATTAAATTTTTTATTTGTATTAAACAAACAATTTTTTAAAAAATT